GAGAACCTACAGCTTTTTTTTTTTTTGTTATCAAATTTTTATTGAAAAATTTTCAAATTACATTCAAACAACAACATTGATGTACAAAATTCTTTTTTGTTTTAAACCTCCCTCCCTCCCTCCCCCCCGCCCGCCCCCAACCCCCCCCCCCCCCCATCCACCCACCCACCACCACCACCTCGATGCTCTATCTCTCAGTTCACAGTGCCCAGAATACACTAGATCTTCCGAAAGCTGGGCCCAAGTTGCAAGAGTCCGTTGAGATGCCCCGTTGATTCGGGCAGATGATAGTTCCATATATGCAATGTCCAAAAAGCTGTGCAGCCAGTGGTTATATGACAAGTCGTTGGGTGGTTTCCATCTTTGTGCTATGAGTTTTTTGATTGCTGTAAGGCCTGCTAGCCATATTTTCCTTGTACCTTCGTGAAGAGAAATCTGAGTGTCATCATTTAGTAAATGTACAAAAGGCTCCAAGGGCAAAGATGTTTTAGTTATTGTGGATAAACAGTCTAACACCTTAACCCATAATTCCTGTACTGCTGGACATTCCCAAACCACATGCAAAAAGGAGCCTATGGTTCCCGGGGGACAGAACGAACAGTAGGGATCAGAAGCCACTCCCATCTTATGTCTCAAAACTGGTGTCAAGTATGCTCTATGGCAATATTTTAGGTGGATGTAGCGATGGTTAGGGTTTTTTAAGGCTCTGTCTACATTACGCCAAGTTCTATCCCAATTCAGGTTGAAAGAAGAAGTTACAAATTCCTCATCCCATGTTTTCATTCCCGCTGAAAGTACATCGTTCTGAGTTAAAAGTTTGTCATACAAAAATGACACTATTCTTTTGGGGGCTTGTCGTAATATTTTAGAGATGGGGTGTTCCTTTAGCTCTGATCCCCATGGGACACCATAGGTTTTACACGCAGATCTTATCCTGAAATAAAAGAACAGAGAATGCTGATCAACATTATATTTAGCAACTAATTCTTGGAAACTCAGTATAGATTCACATCCATTAATGTCCTGTAGGACTCTAATTCCCTTAAAATCCCAGTCTCGGTTTGAAAATGGCTTTCCACCTGATAAAAGCAGTCTATTATTCCATAGTGGTGATGATTTATACCAACGTTGTGTACATTTTAAATATTTCTCAACAGCTCGAAATATCACTAACATATATGTCAATAGTGGCCCATAATTCAAATTACTTTTCTTAGTTGAAATTCCAAGAAATAAAAAATCCTTTAATCTATATGGTTCTATTAATTCTTGCTCAATACATTTCCATGAAGATGTTTTGCTATCGTCCAGCCAATAGGATAATCCCCTCAATATAAAAGCCCAATGATAGAACTTGAAGTTAGGTAGGGCACATCCACCATCAGATCTTTTCATCTGTAGCACTGACCATTTAACCGCTGAGCGCTTGCCATTCCAAATATATTTCCTTAGTGTGGAGTCTAGTTTGCACCAATAACCAGTAGGGGGCGGCAAGGGAATCATAGAGCTCACAAAGTTTATTCTGGGTAATATATTCATTTTAACAACTGCTATTCTAGCTGGAACTGATGCTGGGAGATGTGCCCACCTATTAGTATCTTCTTCAATGTTCTTTAGAACAGACAAATAGTTGTTCTTGGCTATCATTGATACATTATTACAAATCTGAATGCCCAAATAAGTAACTTCTTTCACTATTTGTATCTGTGGTGGGGTGGCAAAGACACTTTGTGTTCGTCAGTATTAATTAACATCAAAGCTGTTTTAGACAGGTTAACCTTATACCCTGAAAGATATCCAAACTGTTCCAATTTTTCCAGAACATGAGGAAGTGACTGTTGAACATCTGCCATGTAAATCAAAGTGTCATCAGCATATAATGATATAGAGTGTTTTGATGATCCAACTGTAATGGGGGATATTTGTGAGCAGTTTCTTATTAGTTGTGCCAGCGGCTCCATGCATAAATTAAATGCCAAAGGTGACAATGGGTCTCCTTGACGACTTCCCCTCCCGATTTGAAAAATCTCAGAGAATCCGCCTCCCACACACATTCTTGCTGTTGGATTTGAGTATAATGTTTGCATCATGGCGATACATTTTTCCCCAAATTTAAATTCTTTTAGAACTCTCCACAAATATCTCCACTCGAGGCGATCAAACGCCTTTTCTGCATCCAAAAATAATAAGGCACAAGATGGTGGAATTTTATGGGATGAGCTGAGTACATGCAGAAGTCTACGAATATTGTCGGAGGAGTGGCGACCTTTCAGAAAACCAGTTTGGTCTGAGTTGATTATTTTTCCTATTACCAATTCCAATCTATTTGTTAAACATTTGGAGAAGATCTTTATATCCGCATTAATTAATGATATTGGTCTGTGATTGGCACAATCCAGATGGTCTTTACCAGGTTTTGGTATTACAGTAACGAGGGCAGTATTGAGATCTCTATGAAATGAGCCAAAATGAATAGCGTAGTTTATCGCCTCAAGCCAAACTGGTCCAAGTATATCCCAGAGTTTTAGGTATAATTCAACTGGGATACCATCAATTCCCGGCGTACGGCCCTTCCTTGAGCCTTTGACAGCTCTGAGTAATTCCACAAGTGTTATTGGAGAGTCTACATTTTTTGCATCCTCTGTTGATAAATTAGGAAGATTCAGGCCAGTAAAAAAATTATCCAAATCATTATCAGATGGGGTCTTCTCACTTGTGTATAATTTTTCAAAGTAGTCTTTGAATGTTTTATTTATGTCCTCTGTAGAGGTTAGTATGCCACGTTCTGCACATCTAATGGCTGGGATAGACTTTCTGGCCTCCTCTTGTTTTAGTGTTAGAGAAAGAAGATGACTTGGTTTGCTCCCCTCAGAGTAATATTTGGAACGTGTTGCCTTCATCATGTACTCAACTCTGTTTCTCAGCAGGTCACAAAGCTCAGCTTGTTTTGATTTAAGCGCATTTTCTTTAGACATTGTATAATTGTTTTTGAGGTCACTCTCCAAGTTCTTGCATTCATTTTCTAAATTTGATATTTTTTGTAGTTTATTTCTATGCATATTTGTGCTGAACTGTATTGCTACATTACGAATACATCCCTTAATTGATGCCCAAATTATTGTCTTATCTTTAATAGAATCTTTGTTCAAAGATATAAACTCGGTTAGTTGTTTTCTGATTAATTTCAAAAAATCCTCACATCCAAGAAGGGTTGTGTTAAACCTCCACCTACAGTACTGTTTTTATTTTTCATAGAACTGTAAGTAAAAGTTGTCATGACTGGGTTATGGTCGGATATGTATCTTGGTAAAATTTCTGTTGAATTGACAAGAGGGACCAGATTAGATGATACCAGGATATAATCAATACGAGTAAATGTTTTATGTCGGGTTGAATAAAATGTGTAATCCTTTATTGCTGGGTTGTGAATCCTCCATATATCCTTCAGTGTTTCCCACACATAGACTAATCTGTGGCGCACCGCCACAGATTAGAGACCGCCCGCCACAAATTGCGTTTCGTATTATTATATATATATTTTTTTTGTTACGCTATTTAAAACATGCATCGTCTAGTGCCGCCGCAGCGGTCAATTTGACAGCGGGGAGGGGGGTTTAAAATGTGGCGGCCCTTCGTAACTCTCACTCAAGCTACGCGTCTCTCCCACATACAGAGACCTACACACACACAGCCCCTCCCCTTCGTGCACACCGCGTGTCTCCGTCTCCATCAGCGATCATCGCTGTAAGCAGCTGTGTCTATTAATTTACCGCGGTAAAGTGGCCCGCATCTTTCAGCTCTATGAACATGCGGCCCGCATCGGGGAAAAGACGGTGCGCGTTTTGTTGAGAACTTACGGTAACAGCGGAACGTCCTTTCGGAGTCACCAATTTTTATCGAACAGAAAGCGCGCTGGGGTCTGGGAGACACGTTTTTGTGATTAAAACCTTATAGAGATGCCACCCGGCACACATAGCACCAGCCCCCTCTACCACTGTACCACTGTACCCCCCCCCCGCCGACGACCACCACACATTGCCTTCAAACCTGTGGGAAACACTGTCCTTAATATTTAAATCTGATGAGCTCAAGAGATTGAGCGCTCTAGAGGCTGCATCTTGACTCCCTGAAAAAACTGGTGTTGATTTGTCAAGATCTACATCAATCTGTGCATTCATATCAGAGCCCACATACAGTTGGTATTCAGTGAGTTTAAGAAGTTGCTTTGTGATTGATGGAAAGAAGTCATTTTCAAATGTATTTGGTGCATATAAACTAACAAATGCTATTTTTTTGCCCTGAATCGATACGCCACAAAATGCCATTCTACCAGCGCCGTCAGAGCCAGTTTTCTCCACAGTCACATTTAAATTACGTTTCATAATTATTAATACACCCTTTGTACAAGAGCCATCCGAGGACCATGACACAGGTTTGTACAATCTATTTTGCATCCTAGGAACATCTTTGGGCCTCAAACGGGTCTCCTGCAAAATGGCGATATCTACTTTTTTCCTGTTAAGAAAATCTAAGATTTTTGATCTTTTGTAAGCAGAATTCAAGCCTTTCACATTAAAAGATAAAACATTTAAACTTTTTGGTTTCAGAGCTTCAGTGGTATGGTTCTGTAAAGATTTAACATTGGTAGTGGTTCCCACCCTCTCCCTCCCTACCCCGTACCCTCTTCCCTTTGCCTCCTCCTCCCTCCTCTCCCCGCTCCCCCCCTCCTCCCTCGATGTTGTCTTCTTGCTCCGTGAGCGTCACTCAGCAATGTTGCACCCGCGGCCCCGCCCCCTTATTCCTTTACAACATAAACAAAAACCTCTTATGTATTCAACGTCAACTAGAAACAGTGTGCAAAACTTTAACCTGATATCAAAAGAAATAAAATACACCTTGCTTAGGTAATATTGTTAAACGAGCTACATTTCAATAACTTTTACAACCAGAAACCGTAGAGATCAAACGAGCAGTAGAGTCATGTTTTCAAACCTGGCGCATCATTGAGAGTCAGCTGTAACCGGGTCCTCGCTGGTCTCCTCAAGCAGCGTAGTCAGCGTCTCTTTGGCTTCATCAGGAGTGTTGAAGGACCAGCGTTGACCATTATGATTCACCTTCAGGATTGCTGGATAAATCAGAAACGTGTTGATCCCCTTTTTGCGAAGCATAGCCCGGACTTCATTATACGCCTGCCTCCGTTGACTCGTCGTGATGCTGTAGTCCGGGGAAAACCACAGCGGGGTCCCGTCCTGAAGTGTTGGTCTGCTCTTCCTCGCCCCGTCCAGGATGGCCTGCCGGTCTGTGTAACGCAGGAGACGAAAAATCATGACCCGTGGGGCTTTGGAACTTCTCGTTGAGTAGATACGGTGAGCCCGGTCTATTTCAATGGGAGATCTACCGCTGAGCGCGGGGATCCACTTTGGCAGCATTTTCTGGATATATCCAAGCGGGTCATCTCCCTCCACTCCTGGGGGTAAGTTTCCCAGACGTACATTGTTACGTCTGCTACGATCTTCTTGCCCGACCAAGTCTTCTCGTAACTTTGCAAGTTCTTTCAGGCAACGTGCAGTTTCGGTTTCGTTTTTCCTCTGGTTAGCTTGGATGGTCTCCATCTTGTTAAACACCGTGTCAAACTTTTTGTCATGTGAGGCCATGTGTTCAGTCATTGTTCTCAAAGTGATTTCTATGTCTGATACACTTTTCTGCACGGGTATCATAGCGTCTTTAACTGCGTCTTTGATCATGCCTATCATCGTGGTCTGCAAAGTTGTCATCTCCGTGGCTAATGCTTGTTTGACCAGTGTTGCTAGCTCCGCAAACTCAATACGTTCGCAACCAGTGGTTTCCTGCTTTTTGGTTGTTTTTTCAAGTTTTTTTGATGTCATCTTACTTTGGGATTGACGTACACACTCAGTAGTAGCAATTTAAGTCCTTGAGGAGAGTAGGGCTCACAAATGTGACGTCACGCGTCGGGTCACGTGGCACACGGATTTTGGTGAGAAATTATTGTATTCTATGATTTATCATGTATTCTTTCTGTGTTGGTTTTTATTTTCATTTGTGATAATATATTATGAATTTAGGAATTATGTTGATAATCAAAATGTTTCTATTTGAAGAGAAATTGTTATTATTTGTATTGATTGGTTTGGGGGGAGGAGCTTCAGGGTATAAGGCAGGGCTGTCAGAGCCACAATGTGTGTGGAAGCTGGATGATGAGGATGCTGTGCACTGCTGGCACGACGCTCCAGAGCTGTACTCCCTGATGCCCTGGTGGGTAGTCTCTGTACATATTCTTTTGGTCACTACTGGGTTTGCCCTCACTTGCTGCAGCAAAAATAAACATCCGCACTAAAGAAATATAACCTGACCAGACCATATCATTTTGTTTGCATTTCTTTTGAGAACCCGCGACATTTTTGGTGTCAGAAGTGGGATATGGCTGGTCGCAGATAAGGAACTGTCCAAGGCCCAGAACCAAGAAAGAGGTGCGGTCTTTCTTAGGCCTTGCTGGATGGTACAGACGTTTTGTTCCCCAGTTTTCCACGATTGCTTTTCCCCTTACCACCCTCACCACGAAGGACCAAAAGAATCCGGTGAACTGGACTGAGCAATGTGAGGTAGCTTTTAAGACACTCAAAGACTTTCTGTGCTCTTCACCTGTCCTTCGAAGTCCAGATTTTACCCAGAACTTTGTGGTTCAAGTGGACGCCTCTGCCGTGGGACTGGGTGCCATACTAGTCCAAGCAGATCCAGGTGAAGAAAGGCCCATTCTGTACCTGAGCAGGAAGTTGCTGCCAAGAGAGGCGAGGTACTCCGTGGTGGAAAAGGAGGGTCTCGCCATCAAGTGGGCCCTTGAGAGTCTCCGATACTATCTCCTAGGGCGAGAGTTTATCCTTGAGACGGATCACCGGGCTCTCACCTGGATCAACACCATGAAAGACCACAACGCCAGGCTGTCGCGATGGTACCTTTCCCTACAGCCTTTTAAATTCACCGTGCGTCATCGGAAGGGCACGGCCAATGTTGTTGCGGACTATCTGTCTCGGTTGCCCAACCTTGGCAACCTTGGGAAGGGGAAGAATAGTGTGACGGAGTAACCCCGTCAGCTCGCGGGTGAGAGGAGGCCACGGCGTGAACACGCGCACACACACGCACACACGCATGCACACACATACGTTCATACACGCTCATACAGACTTACCTGTTTCCTCCTGCATTTCTCTCTCATAGCGTCAGTCTAGGGTGCACACTTGGCTGGCGTTCAATCACTCTATAGTCCATAGTACTTCCAACCGGTCCAAAAGTATCTCAGTATTTTCCACACGCACAGCACAGCAAAGTTGGCCAAACCGAACCCCGCGGTCTTCCTTGTTTTTATGCGCCGAGAGTAAGGCTCACAAATGTGACGTCACGCGTCGGGTCACGTGGCACACGGATTTTGGTGAGAAATTATTGTATTCTATGATTTATCATGTATTCTTTCTGTGTTGGTTTTTATTTTCATTTGTGATAATATATTATGAATTTAGGAATTATGTTGATAATCAAAATGTTTCTATTTGAAGAGAAATTGTTATTATTTGTATTGATTGGTTTGGGGGGAGGAGCTTCAGGGTATAAGGCAGGGCTGTCAGAGCCACAATGTGTGTGGAAGCTGGATGATGAGGATGCTGTGCACTGCTGGCACGACGCTCCAGAGCTGTACTCCCTGATGCCCTGGTGGGTAGTCTCTGTACATATTCTTTTGGTCACTACTGGGTTTGCCCTCACTTGCTGCAGCAAAAATAAACATCTGCACTAAAGAAATATAACCTGACCAGACCATATCATTTTGTTTGCATTTCTTTTGAGAACCCGCGACACACAGCAAAAACGGCTGAGTAAAATTTCCAGTCATTATTTTTTTCCTCCAATTGAGTTCTTTTTAAATATTTTAGAGTAAAATAACCTCTAGCGGCCTCTAGAGTGCGAGTGATTTTTCAGAGATGATCAGAATCTCCTCGATTGGAGTAAATGAGGCCCCGCCCTATGTCCCGCCCCCAAAACTCGGCTCTTGAGCTTCTGAACCGCCGCCATGACAGTTTCTCGCAGGACACTAGCAGACGGAGTGTGGAAACCATGGATGTACTCATTTCTTTCTACTTCATGGATAGTCGAAAGGATACAAGGTGAGTCTAAATGCGTATTTAAAGTTTGTCACTTTTTTCAGTTTAATTTAGTCCATGCTGCTATCGCAGTTTACATTTGGAACACTGTTGTGTCTTGTGAAAGCTGCTAGCTTAGTGCTGTTACAAGTTACAAATACTGATATACATCTTCTGGCAATCATATGTGGTTGGAGTTGTACAGAGTTTATTAGTATTGGGTTAATACACATTCGAAAATGTAGAATTTGTTAAACTTATGTTAATTAGTTTATTTTGCGTCACTGCAACAAATTCTTTGAGCTTTTTTTTTTAGAAACGGCATTATTATTTATGTTACTTTATACAAATCAATCTGTATACACTGAATACATTTTATTGTGAAACGCCTGTTGTGCTCCTGTGATGTAGACAGACGACCGCGTGCATTACTTTGGTGCTTTAGCATGGTTTCTCATGGGTTAGATTGTGCAAGTATTTGACACTGGGAATGAGCTATGGTGGCGCGTTAGCATTGTTACAGACAGCGCAGCACATGGAGGTGACTGTGACAAGAGTAGTTTTGTTGTTAGCATTGTTACAGACAGCGCAGCACATGGAGGTGACTCTGACATGAGTAGTTTTGATGTTAGCATGGTTGTTAGCATTGTTACAGACAGCGTAGTTGACTTTGGATGCAGTTTTAGCTATGTTTGCCACATAAACACTATTACTGTTACAACAGTGACCACATGTGTGTACTAAAATTGTTTTATGTCTCCCTAGATGAATGCTGAAGTGATGTGCAGCGATCCACAGAAGTACATCTGATATGAAGGGCAGCTTTGTTTTGCGTTATTCTTCAAATGTAGTAAGTAAGAAATATGTAATTATCTTTAGCTTCAGGCGCATTATAAAGTAAATTGCTTTGATAATATTACATTGTACTCCACTCTGAAATGCCTTGATACTTTTAAACAATCTTGTTGTCAGCATAACTAACATACATTTGTTTTTGCAGTTGCAAAATAAATGGATATTCCAACTTTCAAAGTCTATATTGAGACGAAGACTGAGGTTGATATAAGTATTTGAATTTCTCCTCAAGAAGGAGCGTTTGGGTGTGCTAGATGTTTGTTCACCAAAGGGTGTATGTTTATTAAATTAATTGTAATGCTATATTTTCATATATTGAGGTTTTTATTTTGACAACTATGACTTTATGTTGCAAATGGGTTGAGCTCCCCAATTAACAGCTTCTTTACAAGCTACAGTGGAGATACCGAGGTTGACTCTGATGACTCGATCATAGCAGTTTAGTCCTGCTTCAGTCAATAGAACTGAGGATGCTTGTCTCTCACATGTGAGCTTGATGGTTATATAATTATCGCTTTTTGCCACACTATGTATCTGATTAAGTTATTTTATCGTACCATTGTAAACACTTTGTTTTATGTTTCCAGATTGAGAGCATCCCAAAGAACAAACCAGGAGGAGATGGAATCTTAAGCGATTATGCTCAAAAACCTTACAGACAGCAGGAGACGTGATATGGTCAACATTTTGGTTGCGCATATGACAAATGAACATGGTAAAACATTGCTAATTTTGAAAGTTTCACTGTTTCATAACTAAAATATAACCTATTATTAGGTCCTTCAAGGCGTGTAAAAGACGAATATGCCAGAGGAATTATTGCCTTGTTATCTCTGTTTGGCAGATCCAAAGAGCTAACTTGGTATGATACTCCTCTTAAGATTTGTATCCGAGTCATTCACAGGGATGTTGTCAAACTGTTTTTATTTCAGGAGCACTATTACCGTTTTTCTGGCTCCCAAAAGGACACCATTACCAAAAGGTTAGTTAAAGACTGTTGAGTTATTCTGTTGGTAAAGGTCAATTATTTTTATGTTTATTTGTCTATAGGTGGTCCGCATGCTAACTGAGATACCTTCAAGAGGAAGATTGATCTGTGCTGGCAGAAGTCTTCACAATGTTTCCAAGATTTCTGGATATATCAGGACTGGTAAGTCACCTTAAATATTGATATTGTTTTATCAACATTTCATTATGTCTTTTGTTATAAAGCAGATTGAGCAGGACTTCAGACTTACAGTATGCTTGATGATGCTACTTCAACAAAATTAGCCAATTGTCTGCAATCAAGAATTAAAGCTGAGTCCAGCTCTAAAGTTGAAGGTGAGTTTTTTTTTTTTTTATATTGGTAAAAATGGATAGTGTCACAAACACAGTAGATGACTTCCGTTTGATCTTTTTCAGGCTGGGGCAATTACATGTCATCTTCTTCTACTTTACCAGACATGTCTGTGACCATCTCACTGTTTCTCAAGGTAAGGTCACCTCGCTTTTTCTAACTTTTTGGAATGGCTTCATTATTAACGTATGCTTGTTAATTTTCTAGACTGGGACCAGCATTCAAGATCATCTGCACGGAATCACAGAAAGGCATCAACCCTAATATTTGGATTTCTGTGTCAACAGTGTGCATGTTCACAAATGGAATGAGAACTTTCTATTGAGCAAGTATTTGGTGCCAAATAAAAGGGTATTTGGAAAAATGTTTGATCTTTTTGTTATATTTTATATTTTTAGGAGCTTAATAGTGA